TAATTGTCAAAGGTTTAATTACAAATTATTTATAATTTTGTTGAATGAGTTCAATAAAATTTGAAACAATCGATTCTGCTATATATTTCATTTGTTTATTACACGATGACGAATTCAGATGTATTCCCTTTTATAATACATTTTTTATATTGATATTATTCATGGTGTAGAAATCAGTTTTTTGATGAGAATACTTCTCAAATCGAATATGATAATGGATATATAATGTACGACAGAATGATCTGCATGTCTAGAGCTACGTCTCATTCGTTTGAAAAGTATAACGATTCATTAATTTTGACAAAACCACAAATATTCATGAATGATAAAGTAAAGTCAAGAGAAAAATGCACGTAATAAACTAACACACAGCAAATAATTCCAGCGGCTTTAGATAACGGAAAAAAAGGAAACGAGTATTGGTGTTTTCTGCTATTTTGACAATAGATCGCTCAATTTGAAAATATCGAATTCCATTCCAGAGATAAGGCAACATCTGTTTCAATTCAATGCCATATTTGATCTCCTTTTGTTATCCAGGAATCATTAATTAGCGAATTGATGACTCAAAGAAGGAACAATTGATTGGAAATATTTAAAGTTTTAGTTAAAAAATAATTTTCTTTGTAAAAATAAGTCTCATTTCATTTCGACTTGTCATTTTCCTAACCTAACTTCTTAAAGATGATTCTCATTGTCATTATTATGAAAGAAATGATGATTGTGGTAATTATTTAAACAATAGCAGACATACAGAAAATATTGGTAAAAATGGAGCAAGAACAAAGCTTGTATTCGGAATATAACTGTTTGATATTTTAAAAAATACAATCGATTCGTCCTTTATTTTATTACAACTTCTATTATACACATTAATACTACAATGACTATTACAACTACTACTCCATTTACCATCATTCTAGTAATGATAATATTATTATTATCGCTTGCATGACCTGAAGTGATACTACTTCTGTTCTAAATTGTATGCTTTTCTTCTCACTCGTCTCCTCCACATCATTTTATCATGTTATTATTTGTTCTTAATCTAACCAGTGTCAGGTTTTCCCCGTAACATTCCTGTTTTCTTTGCCCCTCATCTTTTGGTTCAACTCGTTCGTTCTATACTTTTTTAGATTTATGTCTCTTTTTTGTCTATCTCTCTTGATTAAGTTATACGCTCCTGCAGCCCTTATTATAATTTCCAAACACAAAATCTACTGTGCAATTCATAGTGTTTGTTTGAGTGTGAGTGTGTCTGGGGTGAGTATGTTGGTGGGGTGGGAGTGGGCTTTTGTCGTTAGTTCTTTTGTTGTTTAATCAGGAGACCCTGGATGTGAATCACGCCTTATGCTTCTAATCTCAGGCAAGGCATTTTATCTATACTTGCTTCTCCTAACACAGGAGTATAGTCATTAGTAAATATGTACGTTGTGGAGATAGTGGCAGAGGATACGAGGCACTTCATCTCCACTTGCCTCTCTCGACCCAGGTAGTGTAAATCTGCTTCTCTAAACCCAGGAGTATAAGCTTTTATGTACGTGGTAGGAATAATGGCTGCATTTGTAAAATAGTTACCTCTCTCTCGACCCGGGTGTATCAAACATAATATAGATAATATAGGAATAATCTTAGATTATCCACATTACGCAGCCGCAATATGTATCAAAAGTAGTCATTCTTATCATTTTCATTGTTGACATCCTCCTCCTCCTTCTCTCCTGTTTTGTTGCTTGTCATTCTCGAGCTGTCGAGTGAGAGTGTACTCCTCAAGGTACGGGCCAGGATATTGGGAGTGTTGTGTCACTTGCGTGGGTTTTCCTCATCAATTATTGGGAGGAAAACTTCACAAAGGAGTTCGGATGCCTTCCCTCCGTCTCCAATGAATTCATTGGATGTGTCCAACATACTGGAACAATTCCATCGGTATTAAGGGATGTGTATTTTTAACCATATGAGGTATGAGCACGATCTTTATATATATATTTTTTATGATTTGATTCAATCATGGAAAGGTAATAAGATGGTGACATTTGATAATCATTTTGATCGCAAACAAACTTCGTTAGAGAGCGGGTGAGCGGGAGGAAAGGCAATGTCTTTCATAATCATGTTAAGTTGTGAAATGAACGCAGGTAATATTCTGAGGCACATATCATATTGTGACTGCCTCTAGAAAGATTGCCTCAATATGATAAGTAGAGAGAAAAGTTGTTATCAATTTTTCTTCGGATGAATTGTAGAGCTACTTCAATTCCTCAGTCCTGTAAGTTGGAAAATTCACCTTACATTATGTTTTTTCTTGTTATGTTTTCTATAAATTTCTATCCCGTGTCTCCTGCATATGCTTGGGAAATAACAAACATTAATAAACATAATTGTTTTTATAACCAAAATAGCAAACAGTTGTGAAGTCTTTAGTCAATGCATCCTCGAAGCCTGATAAGATTTAGAATTGTCTAATTACTCTGATCATCCTCGACCTAATTCTCACTTTCTCAACCACCCTCTTTCCAGTCCGTCCTGCCAGGTCTGTGACGTAACAATAGGATGAATCACGCTCAACTCCCATCCAAGATCAACATCTCGAAAATTATTGAATGTTTAGTTTTACATTAGTCGCTGACATGTGACCGTGAACTTCACACGTTCAAAGGCCAGAAAAAATGACTCAACTGTAGAATTGCGATTTGTTGCTTAATTCGGCTTCCTTTCCCACTTCTACTTACTATTTATTTAGAGGTCACGTGACGGGAGATTTTAAATCCCCCTCAACTTTCTGCCCTCGGCATGTGTTGCTTTTTGTTTCCTCTCCATTTCTGTTTTCTCACATTAACCTATCCGCTTTTCATGAGCTTTTATACTTTTTCATATGTAGTTTATCAGGCGCCTGTATGAGTAGACACAAAAGTTCATTAAAAGTATCACTTATGTTCCATTTCATATATCAGGTGATTTAATCCTTTATGTTCGAGAGATGTGAGATAGTATTACATGTAGATTCGCATAATATAAGTATCCATAAAGAGAGAAGGAGGAAATATGTATAGGATAATTCTTTTTGTCATTGTCATTTGTTTTTTCATGACTAGTATCAGGTGTCTTGCATAATATGTTATGAATGTTAAAAATGTGAATGCGTATTTTTCGTATTGAACATAGATTTTCATTATTGTTTCATCAAGTCTTTATTTCAAGAGAGCTTGCAATATTAAGTTACCAGGATCATGGTCCTGAACCGGACTCATGGCAGGTCATACAATTTTTTTTACAGCACAAAAAGTCAAATTTTTGTAATATCAGTCCAAAAGATGAATAGAGAATAGTAGTATCAGATATCATTTATCCGTGACATTCTGAAAGACACGTCACTCCTGCACTCTCTCTGTCAACTGTCCGTCAAATATTTTGATTAAAATGTTTGTGAATGCATATGCATTTTTTGAATAATTTCACAAACCATCTTTCCTTTCAAAATATTATGCACGTCGATCTCTATTTTTACACTTCATTTGTTCATGATTTATTACTTCCCAATACGTCAACGCTCGATGAGTTTATTACTGGTTTTTTGGCGCCAACTTTGTTGTACAAAAATACTCCGTGATTTGGACAGGTGCAGCAGAGCGTCTCCTCACCTGTCCCTCACCACACCCTCACCAGACCCGTCTTCACCAAACCTGTTCAACATCTGCACCTACCTAGAACAATTCAATCAGACACAGGAAAGGAAGAGAAGATAACACGCTTGAATCTTGATCATATTTTGACAACAGATTATTTGACATTTTGGTTAAGGAATGAGCTCTAGTTTTCCCTCCTGTCGAACTTTCGGTTTCTTGGATTCGTTCCGATTTGGGGGTGAAACGTTTTGAATTCCCTGGTGACCACTTGCCATAATGTTAATAAACTCCCGCGCTAAATGTATATTTTACTTGTATGACTGTTGATGCCCTTGTGTATTATGAGTTCCCGTTACAAACCGGTAATCCTTAGCTTTCCTCTCGAGAGTACCTGTCAACTACTCGCCACCACTCCCTTCTTCTTCTCCCCCTTCTCAACCTGAGTCCTTGAGAGATTGTGCTTTAATCACATACTGGCCAGGTAGTCTCAGGGACGTTTTCCATCAGAAGACGTCGAGTTCATTTACAGGAGAACGGTTCCTGACCTGATCAAGAGCCAACACTCTCTCTCTGCTCTCCTTCATTAAGGATAGGGGTAAATCCCTAAAACCCCGTCCCTCCCCCTCCTGTACGGTTGACCCTGAAGGGTTGGTCTCCTGGGGTTGTGTGGGGTCCTGCTTCCCCTTCCTCCAAGGAGGGTTGCAGCAAGCTCCCCAGTATCAAACCCTTAATCGAGCATCTTTTGTGTCCCCGTGGAGGGATGCGTCATCTGCAAAGGCCAAAGGAGAGAAGGCAATGGGAGAGGGAGCCAGGCGGTTCGTCTCTTACGCACTCTATGACGTACAAAGCAACGCGAGCCTGCCATTTTTGTTGTGAAACAGGAAGGCTTCACAATTTAGATAAACCTCACTATAATCTCGTCCCAGGCACGTTTTTTATTTTATATTCCTCTCTGATGTAAACTTTTTCCTAAACACAAAAAACCTCCCCCGATTTTTTGGTTGGTGCAAGAGAGAATGAGAGAGACGGATATAGGAAGAGAGATCGATGAAGAGAGGAGAACGGGGAGGAAACTGTAAACAAAAATAGGTAAGATGTCAAGTATTGGCAAGCCAAGAGATGATGATTGTATTGTTAGGTAGTGAGAGCAGGAGGTGAAGTAGCAGGCATTTTTAAGAGTAGACCTGACTTGTTTTGTCATTCCCTGACTGGTCTTTACCAACTCACTCGCGTTTATATACATGTTGTTAATATCTACTCATCTCTGACGGGCTGTATTAGAGCTGATCTGATAATAGTATCTCCCACTTCTCCCCCTCTCTTTCTCTCACTCCCTCCATCACACACCTACCTCCCTCGAACACACCATTTTGACAGGTGGACGTGTACTATCATCATACCAGCGGCTTGGACGGGAACTCGACTAACCACGTCGGAGCTTCAGCCGCACACCACGCTGCAGCAAGCTATTATTCGGGATCGGCTGCGGCGGCTAGAGCAGCAGCCATGCATGGATACAGACCCTCACACGGTGAGTGAAACTCTTTCCTCCATTACCTACCAGCAGTAGATCCCCCAGATTAGATGCCACTGTACACCAATCAATTACCCCATTCTAGGACGCGTAACAAAATGACAGCCCATCTATAAGAATCATCCCCATAATCATAAAGCGTTGTATAGAAATTGGATCGAGTTATTGAGTATTGAATATTATCATAATTAATGATGCTGAAATGTAATGCTTAAACTGTCATGTGTTAATTTGTTTCAAACTTTATCTAAAAGGTTGTAAACTTATCTCTTTGATATGATTGACCAATCATGTAATAATTACATTCGACGGCTGTTAGTGCATTATTGTTTCACTTCGTTTAAGTTGCTTCATAAACTGAATTAAATGTGAACAAAGTGAATTATTTAATCTTTTGTTTTCATGGATGTTTCTGTTACTTTCACTTACCTGTAATATATGAATTTTTAAAATTAGCAAAAATATCGGTTCGCATACTTAATTGCATATTTGTACATTGATAATATCTCCTTCTAAATATTTAATATTACATGTATGTTTTTAATAACTAATATTTCATTAATATGATTGATATTGATTGTTGGTCTAATTAGCATGCTTGTTGTTGAATGTGCCGCAACTTAATTGAATCAACAATTTATGAATAAGTCAAATTGGATTACCTAATTATTATTATTATTATACTGAAGTGAACATTGATCTCCTTATCATATTGTAATTAATAAATATGTATGTAGTGTGTTCGTATAACAACCATCAATAATGCATGTAAATAAGAGGAGAGTCTAACGAAATATAAAAATGGGCTGCTATTGGCAACAGTTTAAGAAATTATTATCTAGAAAACAATCAGTTAGTCCGCCTTACTGCCGAAGCAGTAAACGATGTATAGGCTGTTTATTATTGGTTTGAAATATTTAAGTAATCTAATAAACATTAATAGCATACTGAATGATATATGTCATATGCATTTCGGCAAGACTTAAAATCTAAGACGAACTGTACCTCCAAGCAGCCGACTATAAAAATGAATTCCATTAAAGTATGGTTTATCAGAATGCACTATTTCATTCCAAAACTTTCAAAAAAATGTATTAATATCAATATCTTAACTTGGCGGTCTTTTGCCACCACGTCAAGTCGCGATGTCGTCTGCGTGATCTTAAACGATGTCAGACACTATCTGATGCTTGTTAATTTACACGGATGCCGACCCGTGTTCCATGCGCTGCTTTGCAAGAGAGCGCAAAAAAACGTTTCCCGCCAACTCGATTACAAATTAGTTCATCAAATTAGGATTAGCCTTATCACGTCTGTTCAGTATCACATTCCTCGAGACCCTCTAATGAAAACCAGGGCATCCTTCTGCACTTTCTTCAACTAATTCCAAATACGAACTTTAATCTCGGACCTCTCCAGCTGCAATCCCATTTTTTAAATAGATGTTGACGTTTGCAGCGGGGATACTTGGTGAGGAAAGAAGACGTGTTCGGTTGAAATAATTTAATGAATAAATTTTCTTGTCAATTAATTCGAATTAATTTTCATTACCGTTGACGTTTCCTCTAACTGCGGATTGAGATTATCAACAAGTGTGCTAATCAATGTAAACTGTGTGGGCTTCAAGTATACGTTTCTACTTAACATCATTTCCTATACTAATTAGACAATCGTTAGAAACGTGAGTACGCATAATCTAGTACCCTCAATTTGATTATATTTGATAGTCCCTCTTTGGTAACTATGTTTGGAATATGATTTAGATCGAGAAAGGAGAGTGAACCCCTCCCAAATTTCTTGAACTGACACGGAAAACCAACCACAATTAGGACAGTCACGTTTTCACTGTTTGACAAGATTATGTGGACGTAATGTTTTGTTAAAACAATTTGCTTTGTGTAAGTTTGATCTATATTTATAAATGATACTTTGATAAACTTAGCGAGGGGATCAACCAAATTCTACCTGAATAGAAGCGCAAAGATAGAAACAGATAAAGGAAACTTTCTGAAAAATTGGCCGATAATTTTTTTTAATGAATTTTTAGAACACGATCAGTATGGGGTATCTTTGATTGCGGAAGGCATCGTGTGGCGTCATCAAGGGAAACATATTCCCTTTGTTTCTTATACAAATACACTCAGTAAACGTTTTCTCGATTATTAAAGTGAAACGGCCTTTATGGCTTTTAAACTGGAATACATGAGACTAAAGTTCTGTTTTATCAATGCAATTGGTGTTTTTTTAAAACATTTTGTACACAACGAATTGTGAATATGCTATTTGATCAAACATCATGATCGAAATTGCCAACTGGAGATTCCCTATATCATTATTGCTCTAAAGTTTAAAACTTTAGTAATTTATCTATTGTCCCTTTTTTCAACTTATGTAAAAACATTCTTAATTCTCTTAATTCTTTTGAAATTAAAAATTATCCCTTTGATTGGAGAGGGATAATATGAGCAGAGCCAATGTGGCCATTCAAAAATTGATTCTGCATTGTCTTTTTAGAGTAAACTACGGATCTAATCAGTGCCATTATTTACATCATCGGAACAAAAACAGAAGATATTAATATAAATTTGTAACATTTAAGTTCTTAATTTAAAATAAATTCGAAGATGGAATAAATCCCCCATTAGTCAATAATAAATCTCAATTAAACAGACTCTCGTATTTGGAGTGATGCCTGGTCCGATAATGTCGGGTAGATGTTGATGAGAAGCCTCTATCATGCGAAGCATTCCTTACATTTTATATTTTTCTATGGGAGAGGGGCACTTCTTCGGGGGGCGATGATGGTGGTGGCAGTGTTTATTTAGGGGGTATTCATAAGGTTTGTCATACGTTTTTATTTATATTTTCTTTTTCTTTATTTCGGGCCTAGGAGACCTTTGAAACGAGATACTAGGTGTCGCCTCGTACAGTTATTCCGTGAATTCATACCTTGCATTTCAAAACATTTGAACTTTTCGTTATATTCTATCAGAGTACATTACTATTAATAACTTTATATTATCTCAAAATTACACAGATTATGCAGCGTCATATTGTTTTAAACTACTTCTGTGAAAAGGTCGTATAATATTTAGTGGTATAGATGAGATATAAAGTGTTGATAATTTTCATGAATCATTTCAAATAAAAATTAATGCTCTTCTAATTTCATGCCTGCTTTCATAATTTTATTCATAATAACGATAGAGAAACCGATCAAATTCTCACAAGTATCAAACAAGGCGAATTAAATACGAAACCCAAAGCCCCGTGAAAAGTTGACGCCCATTTTGTGTGGGTTGCTTAAAGAAATAGTATTTTCAAATGGATAAGAAAGAATTACAAATGATAATTCACATTGTTAGATATACGATTTCCTTTGCGTCTTAAACAAACATGACTGAATTGTGATGAGAACAAAATTTCTTGCTGTTGAAAAAACTATAAATTTTTTTTTTATCAATACATAGATAAATCCTCCCTCCGCCCTCTTATTAATCACTATTTAATCTTAATCTTATGAGCAATTAGAAGTTCAAAGAAAACTAATGTGTTATTATTCATGTGCTTGAATTTGGAAAACAAAGTTTTGTACATATCTCACTAAATCTATTTCTTCAAATAATAGTTAATAATAATCGTAATCGGCAGTTTGCTTGATTTCTGAGTGTCTAATTGATGTATATCCACTTTATTCGTTTAATTGTCACTTTTTTCGAATTAATTCTGTATACGTTTCTCATGACATATTTAAATGTAGATACGTATAGTTCCGGGTATATTATAATGTTGTTATTATTATCAATTTTTAAGTTTTGATTTTTAAAAATGTGATAGGATCAATAACTAATAACAATAATTATTAACAAATTGTTGCTCAGTGTTGTGGGATGGGCACTTTCTTATTATTCAGGTCTTTAATTTATCACTTGTACTATCTATTTGATTAACAAAAAAATATTGTTATTAATTTGGATTCCATAAAGACGGCTTCCTTCCATACCGTTCGAGCGGGATAAGCTCTATTGCCCCATAACTTAATTACAGACCTGCTTACTATACTGGATTGGATTTTAATTATAGATCACACGAAGGAATTCTGCCTTACACCAGCATATTACCTGATGATAAAGAAAATCTTCATTTGTTTTCAGATACTTTCTCGTAAATATTTATATCGGTCTTCATTATCGTACAGTTTGCAACTTCATCACTATTTTCATACGGGGGGATTTATAAAACTTTAAATTATAAAAAACACATCTTCATTGTCCCTTTTATATTTTTGATAGTGTTGATTTATGCAGCTGTCTACTACATTGGAAACTAAATCATGGTAGTTCTGGAGAAGAAAAAAAGAAAGAAATTCGCATAATCTAATATGTTAAATTAGGGAGATGAGTGCCTAAAAATAAGGCGATTGATTGACTAATAATAATCATCGTATAGCACTAATACCAAATACTGCAGTGTAATATCTCGATTGGAATTCAAACAAAATTACTGATGGTAAGAACAAAAGAATTTTCCAGAAAAAAGAGATTTTTCTTCCTCTTTTAATTAACTGCATTGCGAATTTTCATTTTGTTTGTACTACTGAAACGGGAGTGATGTGAATCATGTGATACAATTTGGGCAAACGGAAGTATTTTATTACATTACAACCACTAATATTTAGATCAGAGTAAAATAATATTTTTCAGTCCCTTCTGAATTGAAAGAAAATATCTTTGGAACTCTAACTTTCCATATATGACGTACATACGGACTTTTTCGTGGGATGTGTTAAACGTATGTGTCACGACAGCATAATTCTTATTATCAGTCTTCATCAACCGAATGAATTTATAAGATGGAACAAACTACAATGATAAGAATTTAACGGTTTTGGAAATAACTTCACGGCTACGTCTGCGACCTCGAAGTATGAAATATCTAATTTGTTCGCATTTCCTTCCCGTCATCACTACTTTTTTTTCCCTGCAAACGATTCATGC